TTCTTCACTATAATGCTCTCAGTCAACTGTCTCTCAAAAATTGGTGTGATATTTAACAGCAACCGAAAAGGGAACAAAAAGGTGCTTAGGTAAATGAGTTGCTTAAAGGAAAGACATTGCTCCTAAGTGTGCATTTAAATTCCCAAATACATGTTTGGGGATTGGAGATGTGGGGGAAGAAAGAAGCTGGGGAAGGACTTGTTTATAATTAACTGTATTGATCTTTCACCAAAATTGTTTTCCAAGCTGCTTTCTGTTTGTTGTTCCAAATGATAGGGTAATGTACAAAATTAAGGCCTCACAACACAATTAAAATTAAGACTTAAAAAGCCCATTGTCTGTAAAAACTACCAATTGATGATAATATAAGGGCTATTTATAGAGCTTTGCTATGCCATACTGATTTGCATCAGTAATCTAGTAGCTAAGCCTTACCATAGATCTTTTAACCTTTGCTTCCTTATTTAATATACATGGCAAAATGGCACCAAGTCCTTTAAAAAAATACCCTCACTGACATGTTTGTAGTGCTCCGCAATCACTGATGCTTCAATCCTTCCCACTCTATAAAATAATAGCATATACATGATAACAATCCCATCATTAAAGAAAAAAATTCCAACTCCACCTCCACACTGTGAACAAAAATCCCTACTGTGTACAGCCCAGCTCGTGGGATACTTTGCATTTACATCACTCCTTTCTTTCTCTGCTGATTTACAAACTTTATTAAGGAGGGTACAAGAATTCTTTTTCCCACTAGTGACATGCCGCCACCTCTGTGCAGAGCGCAGAAGCTATTTTCGGTGCACATGAACACTGTATTACAACGTAGGGCAGAAGACTCTGTAGCCAGTTAAAGCTGCAGGAACAATTTAAGGAGGAACACAGGTATTCACATGCCGTGCTGATGAGAGCAGAATAAAATCTCCATAGATCTAGGAGAGTTGGAATATGCTTAATCCCATTATTAATTTGGGACACCTCCCAGTGCTCCAGCATCCAAGTGGTCAGAATTTGAGTCATGTTATACCAATGATTAAAGGAGCCTTCCGATAACAAATGTCTCTGGGCCCTGATTCTCATTGACTGTAATGAGAGCAGGAGCTGTTTCTCAGAATGAGAATTGCAAACAGACCCGCCGACAGGCCTGTTTTCCCAGTTTCCCCAGGGCCCAGTGATTCAAAGGGGCTTGAAGCTCCGGCCTTCACTGCTGCCTCAGTAGCGGTGGGACTCCTTTGAATCAATGCCACACATTGGAGCACTGCCTTGCGTGACTCTGAGGGGGGCGGGGTAGCTGCAGTCTGGGCTGCACCTGGCCTTGCCCCTTCTGGGATGAAGCGCTACCCCTCACACACCTATTTCGTCCTGTGGTCCATGGTGGCTGTCAGCTCCACTGGTTGCAAAACATTCATTGATGTGACACTTTGATTTCCAATGACAGAGACTGATTGTTAACCAAGCTGGATCTCTTTGCATTATACTATGATGGTTGGACAATGGTCTTGTCAACTGTGGGGTGAGGTATATATACATTCATAGTTAACTGTTCTTATTGAAAAAAGCATTCCTCGTGTCAGCTCTTCAGGGGCGAATGGCATCTCAATGCTAATCACTGCAGCTCTTTGCGGGGCTCTGTGTGAAATCACAGTGTGTGCACTGGCAACATCTCTCCAAGCCATTTTTAGACTCAGATGATTTATTTACCACCTACAAATATTCAGAAGCAGAATTACTCTGGGTAAATGTTTCAGAGTGGAATCTTCCCTCCTTCATTACGGCTTGATTTACTTCTTCCTTCAAAGCACACAGTGGAGCACAGTGTTTGACGTTATGCAACATAAAAGATGATGGGCTGTAGGGGAGGTATGCCCAGACCCAAGCATCAGATAGCCAAAGCAGGGATCTGGGGGTATTTTTATTCTCCTGCCTACAGAGGCATCTGGTTCCAGGAACGAGTTGCTTTTTCTAAATCAGTCTCTCAGTGTGGGGATTTTTTCTTTGAATTCATGTTCCTAGCAGATCAGGATGGCAAGATATGTTTGCACATGAGATGTGAGAAACAGATGGAGGCGGTGAGGCAGGGAGACACAAGAAGGATGTTAGGGACAGCAAAAGATGCAGGAGAGAAGGCATTAACATCAACAGACTGAAGAGATAGAAAGGAAGATGGTTCTGGATTATGAATGGGGAAAAGAGCAGGGGAAAGAAGGGGGAAAGAGATGAGGTTCACATAGAAAGTTGGAATGAGTTCATGATGTGTTTTAGAGTAGAAATCACAATTCTAACTACTGTACAATTAAACACTTTAGTAACACTTTAAATTTCAAGACACTGATGTCTTGGATCCTGTTTTTACTTCTTCGGTAATGACAAGGATCTAGATAGTTCCCCCTTTTCCCCTGAAAGTTCTGCATGTGTATTTGTGTGACAGGGGCAGGGGATTCTATGCATTTGCTCTTCTCCTTTCCTGCATGGAGGGGCACTTGGTCGCCTTCACAGCACAGTTCCCCTTCCTCAAGTCTCTACAAAGCCCTTTGTGTAGATCTATAATCTGTATAGAGGAGTGGTTTCCAGCCTGTGGTCCGCAGACCCCTGGTGGTCTGCAACGGTACTGTAGGGGGTCTGCCAAAAGTTGGGAGCTGAGGCTCCATGCCAGCAGCCAGCAAGTCCCTCAGCCCATTCTGCTTCCCAATTGGGCTGAGGGACCCAGCTCGGGAAGCAGAGCAGGGTGAGGGATGTGCAGACTGCAGGCACAGCTATATTGTTTGGGGGTCTGTAAAATGTTAATAGATTGAAAAAGGGTCGATGTACTGGGAAAGGTTGGGAGCCACTGGTATAAAGGAAAGGGGTGGAGACTGGCTGGCCAAAGGGAAGAGGGAAGGTCTGAGAGCATGTACATGGTTCCATTCAGGCCCAGGGGGCCATCCCAACCCGAGAGGATATGCACTGCAAAGGAGCCAAGGCAATGAGAAGTTTGCTGGGGGCAGAGCTAGCACAGATGTCCTACAGATCCCTGGAGATCTCTGAGACCTGCTGTGCCAGGCTCTGCAGCCTTTCCCACAGAGGTGACCTCCTAGTGGGACAGCATAGTGGGGTTGAAGGGAATTTCCATGCAGTGAGTTTTCAAGGAGTCTCCTTCCCCCTGAGCTGCCTCTAAGGGGTTTAGCCATGGGCAGGGATAAACTAGCCTTCTCCATGGATTGGCCAGATAATTACACTATAATGATCATATAACTGAAGGGGAAAATGTGGCTATTTTTAGCCTCTAAACTGGAACTTTTGACCCTAAGATTAATTCTACATTATTATGCAGGGATATGTAATTGCTAGCAGGCACCTTCTGCCCTTGGAGAAATATGCATAATTCTCATTGATGTTACACTGATTTTAGGTAAGATCATTGTCCAACAGTAGGAAATGTCCTCATGCAGCTACTTACTATTTAACTGTAAACCCTCTTATGTTTCCGTATAGCTAAAGAGCAGTTAGTTACCAAAACTCACGAACAGACATACCCCATTATGTCTGTAAATATGAATGATCATCTTGGATAACAACTTTTTTTCCACCCCAACATGAAACACCACCATCATTATCTGGGAAAAAAAAGTATATTATCGGGAGTGGGGGGTTGATGCTGTAACCACAGAATTAGCACCCCTTGGGCATGTCTAGACTGCCTGCGGCTTTCAAAAGAAGATATGGCAATTCTGTGCATTTTTTCGGAAGAGTTTTTTTCCAAAAAAACCCAAAACAGTCTAGATGCAGTTCTTTTGAAAAAAATCACCCTTTTTCAAAAGAATCCTGTACACTTCATTTTGTTAGGAAGAAGGGATCTTTTGAAAAAAGGTGGGTTTTTTTTGAAAGAACCGTGTCTAGACTGCTTTTTTTCCCGAAAATCTCTTCCAAAAACGGGATAAGAAGAAGATATGTAAATTCGTGCTGAATTTGCATATCTTCTTTCGAAAGGTGTGGACAGTCTAATCGTGCCCCTTGTTAGGAAGGGTGGATGCTAAAGATAAGAACAAGCACACTGGTTTAGATCAATGATCTATCTAGCCCAGTATCCTGTCTTCTGATAGGGTATGTCTACACTTGCACCCTAGTTCGAACTAGGAATGCAAATGCAGGCATTTGAAATAGTCAATGAATCGGGGATTTAAATATCCTGTGCTTCAATAGCATGATCTCGCCAGCATGTTACTCTGAATGCCAGCCGTTTCAAAAGTGAAACGTGTTACTCCTCATTTTTTGAGGAGTACCGTTAGTTCGAACTAAGGGGTTTGGTTCAAACTAACACATCCCGGCGTGCACTTTCACTTTCGAAACAGTTCGCATTCAGAGTAACGCACTAGCGAGATCATTCTAATGAAGCGCGGGATATTTAAATCCCCGATTCATTGACTATTTCGAATGCCTGCATTTGCATCCCTAGTTTGATCTAGGGTGCAAGTGTAGACATACCCATAGTTACTACTGTCAGATGAGTCAGAGGGAATGGACAGACCAGGGCAATTTCAAATGATCCACCTCCCTTGTTATCCAGCCCCAGCTTCTCTCACATGATTGGAAGAGGTTTCACTGGGCTGATTCTTTTGGGAAGATAGGGGAGCTGACAGGCTCTGAGGGCCCCTGAGCAAGTTGAGGGGGGGCTGGCTTTGCATTCTTGATAGGGATGGGACCTCAGGCAGGGGAGGAGCAACCAGCCCTTCGTGGCACCTGGAGCATGGCTCCCCCCCCAGCACTCAGAGCCACATGGAGAGTGTGGTGCCCCAGCAGTCATTTAAAGGGCCTGAGGCTCTGGTAGACAGACACTACTGCAAAAGTAGCAGATGCTGGGAGCCCTGGCCCCCTTTGAATCTCCAGGCCCTGAGACAACTGCTCCCTTTGCCCCTCCCACTCCACCCCCTGCTGGTCAGTGGGCTGACAGAAGATATTAGTTAAGAGCCATTATTGGCAAAGTCTCTGATTCAATAGTAATTCTTCCTTTCTTGCAGGTCCTGCTGCGTGATTTACCATGGAAAAATTGCTCTGCAGCATCCTGGTGTTTGGAATGGCAGTTGTGGTTAATGCTTGTCCCAAATACTGTGTCTGTCAGAACCTGTCGGAATCACTTGGCACTCTGTGTCCCTCCAAGGGCCTCCTTTTTGTACCACTAGACATAGATCGAAGGACTGTTGAACTCCGACTCGGCGGCAATTTCATTATTAACATCAGCCGACAGGACTTTGCCAACATGTCTGGCCTTGTTGACCTCACGTTGTCCAGGAACACCATCAGTTACATTCAGCCCTATGCTTTTGCTGATCTAGAAAGCCTTCGGTCTTTGCACTTGGATAGCAATAGGCTACCGAGCATTGGAGAGGATATTTTGAGAGGCTTAATTAACCTTCAGCACTTGATAATAAATAACAACCAGCTGGGCAGCATCTCTGACGAAGCCTTTGAGGATTTTCTGCTGACATTGGAAGACTTGGATCTTTCCTACAATAACCTGAAAGGCATCCCCTGGGAATCTATAAGGAAGATGATAAACCTACACCAGATTAGCTTGGATCACAACCTGATAGATTACATTACAGAGGGAACGTTTGCAGATCTTCAGAAATTGGCCAGATTGGATCTAACCTCTAACAGACTTCAAAAGCTCCCCCCAGATCCCATCTTTGCCAGATCCCAATTATCTCCATTAACAACAACTCCATTTTCTGCGCCACTGTCACTTAGCTTTGGGGGCAACCCACTGCATTGTAACTGTGAGCTGCTATGGTTAAGGCGGCTTGACAGAGATGATGATATGGAAACGTGTGCGTCCCCTCCAAATCTAAAGGGAAGATACTTTTGGTATGTACGGGAAGAGGAATTTGTTTGTGAGCCACCTCTCATTACCCAGCATACTCATAAGTTGTTGGTTTTAGAAGGGCAAACTGCCACACTGAAGTGTAAAGCCATTGGGGACCCATCCCCAGTCATTCATTGGGTGGCTCCAGATGACCGACTCATTGGGAATTCTTCAAGGACAGCAGTCTACGATAATGGTACCTTAGATATCGTTATCACTACATCCAAGGATTATGGAACTTTCACCTGCATAGCAGCCAATGCTGCTGGAGAATCAACTGCCACCATAGAGCTCTCTATTGTTCAGCTCCCACACCTCAGCAATGGTACAGGCCGTGCGGCTCCACCCAAATCCAGGCTTTCTGACATCACCAGCTCCAGCAAGTCCAATCGAGCAGAGACGAAAGGTCCACCCGAAAGGACTGTCTTGGTGTCAGAGGTGACGACTACCTCGGCTTTGGTCAAGTGGATGGTGAGCAAGTCGGCCCCCAGGGTTAAAATGTATCAGCTGCAGTACAACTGCTCGGATGATGAAGTTCTAATTTACAGGTAAATGTGACCACCAGTTTTTCCTTTGAAACTTGTATGGGTGGGCGGATGGAAGGGATGGATGGGTAGGTGGGTGGGTGGAGGAAGGGACTGGATTAATAATGGATTATGTCGTCTTTCATTATGTCTCTGATTTGGATCTGACCCAAGATGGTGGCGACAAAAAATCCTTATGATTTGTTAGATCTCGCTATCTAATCTAGCTACATTTATACAGTACTAATCCGTACGGTGTCTAGACTTTGGACTGTTTCATAGTTAGTTGGTGTCCATGATAGGGGGAGAAATATCACCATTGCAGGTGGCACCCTTGTCGGTACTCTTGGAAAAGAAGGCAAAAATGTCTCCGATTGGAGATTAAATTCCTTTCCGCCAGGTAGAGGTGCTGCCTTGCTACCTCAACCAGGATCAGAGTTAAAGCATCCTGGAATGGAGGGATACAGTGTGGATGAAGGCTTATCCTGTCTGTCTGCAGCCTATGTTTTATCTAGTCCGAGGAAAAGAGAAGACCTCAAATTCCATGAATATCAACTTGGCATATTTAATCCCTAGTGGGGCTTTCTTTTCCTCTCTCACCAGTTTTACACGCCTGTCACTGATATTGTCACTAGAGCTTTTTGTGATTTACACCAGTGCTTATAGATAAAGAAACCAGACCCATAACTTTACTCCAAAAATACAGGGCCCTATTACCCAAAATTGCTACTCTGTGTTTCCACCAGTTTTGATTTCAGTGGCATTCCATTGGTATGAAACAAGAAAGCAGAAAGTGAGGGGAGCAAGCACATGAAAAGGAAAGATGCTGTAAAATGTAGGTGTTAAAAAAGTAGCAGGATATGCCTTAACAAAATAGAAAAAATGTTACTGTGTTTCTCTTCTCTGGGAAGAAAGAATGTAAAATTGATACAGTGTATTTATGCTCATGATGAAAACAATCATTAGGAATACTCCTTTCTGCCTTTCAGCTGCAAAGAGAACAATAGCAGATGTACTGAGCTAAATTGTACCTACTGGGAAACACCTTACCAAAATACAGGGGTCATGCATTATTTTTTATTTTTTTTTGGTCTGTGGTGAGGGTGGTGAATTTTATATTTTGGCCCTTTGCTTCTAGGCGGAGTCCTCACCTGCCTGCTTATAGCTAACACAAGATCTGGTGAATGCTCACTTGTGTTTTTCAGTCTCTTTGTGCTCACCTCCCTGTTTGTCTCTGATTTCAGTGTGGCAAATGACCCTGTTTGTAGAGACTGAATTTTACATTAACACATGCAAGTACTTGAGTTGAGAGGTCTTACATGCTCAGCCAACCAAGGAACAGAAACATTATCTTGTGATGTGCCTGGCCGCTCGCAACTGAGTGACACAGGTCTAAGTTTGGATACTGGAAAAACAAATGGAGAGAGTAAAAAATGTGAACGAATTCAACTGCTGAATAAATCTGAGGAAATCACAATCTGCTCATATATTTTCTCTGATCAAAAATATGTTGAGTTAATCAGATCACTTACTAGATAGACTATTTGTTTTGCTCTGGCTAATGTATTGTAGAGCTGGAGTTCACCTTGGGTTTTGCCACCATGTGAAAATGGGTAGAGTGACAGGGGAATAAAAAACTTTCCCTGATGAACCAATTCCAGAGGAAAGACCCTTGGCCAAATGCTGGTTGTATCTAAATTCTTGATCCCCTGGGAAGTCTGAGAGAGCAGCTCTGGAGGCAATACAAACAGGTGGACATTGAATGGAAGATTGTCTTTTGATTCAAGAGCTAGCCATGTAGACTGTCTAATGACAATAAAAGAAAGGGCTGTTCAGAAAAAAAATGAAAATGATGCAGGAAATAAATCTATTGGCTAGCGGAGCAGGGAATGTGTGATTTGGTAAGAATAGGAGGAGTAAAGATGATGGTGGAAATGGTCTCTCTGGGATGATCTGAAGGAATGAACAGAGACTTGGAAGTCAGAAAGTCCTGAATTCTAATAATGGCTGTGCTGTCAGCCTGGTGAGTGGCTTTAGAAAAGTCACTTTGCTGCTCTGTGCCTCAGTTTCCCCATCTGTACAACGGGGACAATGGCCTTTGCTTTCTCTCTGACAAACACTGTGAGATGTAATTAGCTCTACCTAGCACTTTTCTTTCATAGACTTTAAAGGGTACGTCTACACTAGCCCCCTAGATCAAACTAGGGAGGCTAATGAGGGTGACCAAAATTGCTAATGAAGCACGGGATTTAAATATCCCATGCTTGATTAGCATATTCCCAGCTGGTCACCATTTTGGAAACTGACTAGCCCGAAGTAACTGCCCGCATCTACATGCGGCAGAGAAGCACGATTCCGAGATAAACCCCCTTAGTTCGAATTAATAGTTAAACCTCATTCCATGGTTTAACTCGAACTAAGGGGTTTATCTTGGAATCGCGCTTCTCAACTGTGTGTAGAAACAGGCAATTACTTCAGGCTACACTTTCCAAAATGTACCCAAAGTGTTTAACAAAAGAAGGTAAGTGCCATTAGTCACACTTTAGAGCTAGGAGAACTGAAGCATAGCAAGGTGAAGTGACTTGCGTGAGGTCACACAGCCAGGCAGTGGTAGAGACAGGAACCAAACCCAGGATTCCTGAGCTCCATTTCAGTAACCTGTCCACTTCTCATAGTTAATTTGCTAACGTTAGTTAGCTCTTCTTTTAATAGGTACTCACATGGCATAATCATGAGAATGGTAAATAGTAAACCCCGAAACATAGAATTTTTGTGCCGTACTTGGATTACATTAAGTGTTGTGTAAGTGCCAAACAATATTTCACAGTGATGAGGACTTTATAATCACCTCAGAGATATAGAAAGGGTTGAGACCCATTTGAGTGAAAACTATTGATCTCAATGACAATGGCATGCAACACTGACCATGCTATGCCTTTAATCTGTCTCTTCAGGGTCACTCTACCCATGTTGCAGACTGTGCAAATGGGATATTAGGGCTCCAGTGACCTCATGAAAATTAAAAGACCTGGGAAATAATGAGAAATGTTTTCCATCCGTTCTCCTGACTGAATGGAGCAAAAGGTTATCAAAATCCAAATCTCAGCTCTTGATTCATTAGTGCTGGCATTATTAGGATTAATGGGAATGGCAGCCCAGTGTTCTATACGTAACCCTGTAATTTCTGCCTGGGGCCTGATTCTGCTCCCATCAAAATTAACAGCAAAAGACCTATTCATTTTAATGGAAGCAGGATCAGGCCCTTGATGCACAGCTGCAGAGAAAGCAGCTCTTAGTCAACAGTCCATTAGCTGTGTTCTACTGCCTTGGAGTACTAAGGGCAAGGTTGAGAGAACAGACTGGCACCCGTGGCAAGGTTATTGCACAGTGCTTGAGTTAACAGACACAGAGGGTTTGGTCACTTAATTTGCAATTATGGTTTTGGCATTGCCTCCGGCATTTAAAGAGCAACCTGCCTTCTCTGAGGTAAGATGCCATATGCTATCATCTCTGCATTGCTCTGATCATTATCCCAAATGTCCTTTTTGTCAGTGGCATTTGTAAATAACTCTTCACACCAAAAAGTCTCTGATTGGCTTTGCACTCAGCAACCTGCCACCTTGCAGGTGGAAGAGTATTTAAAGAGATGCTGGCACTGGCATTGTATGGTATAGTCCCTGCTTTGCAGATGGGCACCATTAGCCTATTACTCCATGCACAGATGCAGTAGCCACTGTCTTTCCTTTGTAGCTTGACTGCTCTTCATTCTATCAGTGTCAGTTGGTGGAATTCCTCTGGTATATTCTGATCAGAACCAAGCCTTCTGTCTCTCTAGCCTGGTCCTCAACATGCCAAACAAATGAGGAGAGAAGCACAGGATGCCCAAAGGAACTCTAGACATGATTTCAATCTTTTTTTTCTCTTTCCTCTGTCTCTCACCTACAAAATTGTTCAGCATCTTACAAGGACAGAAATATTGGGCCCAGTCCTTAGTGGGTGTAAATTGGTGTTGCTACAATTAAATCAATGACACTGCATTGCTTTACACCAGCTAAAGATCTGGCCCCTTGTTTCACATTTTCAGTGTGTTGAATGTCATGTTACTGTAGTTGTCTTGGTCCCAGGATGAGTAGTCATGTTAGTCTGTAACTAAAAAAACTTAAACAACAACAATGGTCCGTTAGCCCCTTAAAGACTAACAAAAATATATAAATAGTATCATGAGTTTTTGTGGGCACAACCCACTTCTTCAGATGACAAATATTATAGAGCAAGGGGCACAGATTTTGAAATATAACGCAGAAAAAGAAGAGGTGTGGGGGAAGGAGAAAGAAATAACTGTCAATTAAAGTGTCCATGCTAAATGAGGCTAATAGAATAGGCTACAAGCATTAACATGCCTGGGCACTCATTAATGGATTTAAATGTGGTTATTCTGTTACAAAACAATTTCAGGAATCAGCTAGAGAGAGTCTTCAGAGCTAGCTTTCATAGGCACATTTCATACTCTCTTGCATGGCTTGGACAAAGACATGAATTGGATGGGCCATTATATTCAACACCCAAATGATATCAAAGGTTAAGTATCAGGCACTCTCAGCCTCCCTCTGCGCCCCACTGCCTTACTGGTTGGGAGTTGCCAGAGGTAGGCCTGTGTTGCAACCCCATACCCCAATCCCCAGCCCTGAGCCCCCCAAACTCCTGTCCTGCAACCCAAATCTCTCAACCCTGACCCCACCCCAGAGCCAAAAACCCCATCCCAGACCCCTCACTTGCCTGCACACCAAACTCCTCTCCCAGCTCAGAGCCCCCCACACACTCTGAACCCCTCATTCATGTCCCCACCCCACAGCCCTCTCACCCCTGTACACCAAACGTCTGCACCAGTCCCGAACCGGGTCACCAGGAAATAAGTCTGAAAACTACTGAAGTAGAGGATTCTGTGGGAAGCTCTGCTAAGTATCCCAATAGCATGTAAACTAGCAGTGACCTCCTTGGACACACACAGCATCCAAGAACGTGTG